TTGACATGAATTCAAGGGAGCCGTGGTTCGATTCCCGGCTGGGTAACAATTTTTGGCATTATTCGGGATTTACGTATTTGATTTCTAAACAAAATAATGCAATTTAGTGAGAAATAATTTTTTTTAAGAAATTAAAAAATCAGATTTAAAAAAATGTTTCTGAGTCATGATAAGAAGAATTACCTAAGTCATAAAAGTACAACCTGTGCAAGTGACATCCAATTCAAAGTGCAGGTTTATGTAGACACAAAATTTTAATTTTCTACAACACGTGTCAAAATTGCGTTTCATATTAGAAGCACTCAAACCCAAATTTTTCAAGACAATTAGCACACTTTATAACACTAACCGGCTTAATAACAGGAAGGTGGGCGAAAAAATTATCTACACGTGCAATTTTGTCGCTCATTATTTTGAATTGTTTTGTTTACAAAATTGCAAAAGTTTTTCATAATAAACTTTCAGCGATAAAAAAAATTAAATAGCATGGACACATTTGGACGCACACCACTCCAAAAACATGGAAACCACAAATCTGAAATACTCTTCAATTTTTAAACCCATCTCGAGAATTAAACTACTTTTCAGTCACGAAATACATAAAATTATCTTTAAACATCTTTAATTATCTTGCCTTTTTCTGAAATCTTTTTAAAATTTCCATAATTCGCCCAGAAACCAGTTCCACCCCAAAGGATAAGATCGCTCCGAAAATACAAACCACAAATAGTTGGAAGGCGACCAATAAATTTTGGAAATTTCCAGTCGAACTCATCTCCTCCACGATCGGATTGAGACGGGCGTACTGTTCATCCACAAACTTCCAAAGGTGTTCGTAGAGCGAAAATATCCCGTTGGAACTTAATCCATGCAGTAGCCCGAATAACGCGTTTCCTCCAAAATAGCGGAGTTCCCAGATGACGTTCCTCTTGTAAAAGATTTCTCTCACAATGTTGCACGTCACGTTGGGATACGTAGCCTTGAGGAAGTGAAGAACGTCCTGCACGTGATCCGAGTTGGGTTCGAAGGCTATTTCGTCCGCGAATACGGCGGCACCCGAGTACTGGTAGAATTGGAGGAAGTGTCCAGGCAGTTCTAGGAAAACAGGTCGGATTAATTAATTAGTTCAACTATACAGGTCAATGTTAAGCTCGAAATGAGTAGAACGGAAGGCAGGCAGTTTACCCCGTTTCGTTCGGAACTTTCTCGAAACTGGCGCAACCTAACGGGAAATTCAAGTTTCTACTGTGGTATAACTGCTCTGCCGCTAAGGTTGCAGCAATTTCTTCAAATTTCTTGTCCATCGCATTTTTGTAGACACTAGAAGATCACTTTCGATTCGAAAGTGATCTGTCCTGTTTCAAAAGGAACGATTACATACATAGTTGTGCAAAATTAGGGTAAGTCGAAATTCATAGATTACATATGTAGATCGCAATAAATATTAGACAAATTGAAATGTGAAGAAGGCGCTATTCCGGCTTAACATAATGGTAAATATGTCTAACATGTATTCAGAAGACATGGGTTCAATTCCCGCAAGGGCTATCTAATTTTTCAGTAAATTTCAACCCCGTATTCAAAGGTCAGACTTTGCGCAACAAAATTCTTAACCCTGTCCAGGACGTACTCTTCTCACAAGCCACCTTCTCCCCGGCCACACCTTTCAGCGACAGTTTGAAGACATCCATTTCCCAAGGATCGAACGTGGAGTGAAATTTAAATCCAAGCCTGTTAAAAACTTCGGAAATCGTGGCCACCACATATTTTTCTAAAGGTTTCGTTATCTCACAGGTGATCACGGCATCATACCAAGAACTCAGGATGGTCATGCACAAAATTGAGAGCACACCGGCGAATGTAAGATTTCTGAAAGGGACCCATACAATCAAAATTTATGACGTTAGGAAATTAATTAATTCGAATCTATGCACCACCTCTTTGATACCGCCTGTCGTAAAAATGATACCGCCAAGTCCACAAATCCTCCCAAGTTTGTCACCCTTAACAGAATCGAAAGTAAGGCCAACCCCAGCCAAACATACTCGTCCATAATTGTGAAGAAATACGAGATCATGACGGAGTTCCAGGTTGGATTTTTCTGACAGTAGAGTACATAATATTCCATGGATTTCTCCACGTGGAATTTTTCCCCAGGTTCAAGCACCATATGGTTGGCTTGCAGGCCCATTTTGAACCACTCGTAAGGGTTGGATCTGAACAGAAATGGTACAAGTAATACACAACCCACGCAGCTATTTAACTCAACGTAAGACGTCCCGTCGAAATCCCCAAGATCTACCAGTCTCCCCAAAAAGTTATACTAAAGATATTCTAATCCTAATACGACATGTGGACACCATTTTCGGCAGATACTGATAGATCACGGATGTCCTAACGCAACGTCCATAAATTATATCACTTGTGACGGACTATGGTTCATCTATTTAAAATCCGTAATTTTTTCTACAAGATGGCTTGGCTCACGCTGTAATTCCTACGAATTTTGAGTTTGGCCATTTCTTCTAATTTTTCGCATATTTTCAAAGCTAAAAAGTTTCCAAAACTTTGATCCGTTGACACGCATCAGCCCCGTTGGTAGGAAAATCAATGAAATATGTAGTATAGATAGAGGTATAATAAAATGACGCAATTTTTAATAGATGAACCATACCACACTACATATGTCATATCACTGTGGGATATGTATGCTTGACGCGTGACGTAATTTATGTATTAACGTTACATAAGAGGATTTAGCTGATTGGGAAGTACAGTAGCCTTAAGTTCTAGATTATTCACCGTACTGGAATAGACAAATGAAAATAATAAAATTTCTTTAGCATATCTTACCCTTTATCTGCGTACGTAAAATTTAACTTCCGCGCCATCACAAGCATCGGACCAAACGCGGAAAAACAAGGGGATCCCGTCCGAGTAAAGTCGCGATGAATTTCACAATCCACTTTTACCAAGTTTCTCAACCAAATCGGATCAAATGCGAGTTTGTGCCAATTCTGGTTCAAATCGAACACTCTTCTTAACAGGTTCAATTCACGGGCAGATGGCAGAGTTCCACTATTTTGGGCGGGAAGCCTTTTAAACTGTAGGGTCCCACTTGTCGGCGACACTAAACTGGTCTGAATTTCGCCCTCCACGGGAACAATTACGTAAATCGGAGCATTTAACGTTTTCATTACCTCATAAAGGGTAGAACGAGCCAAGAGTTGGACAGCCTTCACGGAAAGTATTAAAAAAATCGTAACCCTACTCTTCCTTCCCCAGTAGATAATCTCGTCCCAGTATTCCCGATAGTTTCCGGAATTATCAAAAATTAAGATTTCCATGCAATTACTTCTCCAAAATTGGGTCGAAATGTTGCGGAATGGAGAAATCAAATGTCTCGAAAGTATTCCCAAGCGATGGCTGGAATCCAAATGCAATTCGTAAATCTCACTAAAATCCGCCGATTGTAGTGATGAATTTTCGCGCAAGGCTGCAGTTTGAATTAGACAGGATACATCGTAATTAAAAGTCGGGAGGGAATGGATCCTGCTTATCGAAATAATTGAAAATGTACACAAAATTAATTCTAAAAGAAGAAACGTCATGTTACATTTGTCAAAATTTTCTTTGGCCAAGTACGAGACAATTATTCGTGCAAAATCAGTAGAAATTCACAAAACGGCCACAAACATACGTTAATAATTACAATTGTAAAGAAAACATTAGTGGCCTCGGTAGCTTAATGGTAAACGCGTCCGACATTTTCTCAGTAGACAAGGGTTCGATTCCCACCTACCTTGCAAAATACCTTTGTCACCATGTTGCAGTTCCATGTTCAAACAAATAAATAAAACCTATATAACTGTATGAAATCAACTGTTCCATATCTACCTCCCAAATTATACATGCATAATCTTAAACAAATTTATTCTGATAAACGTAACGTAACTTACCGTGGTTAAGAGTATAGATTTTATGCAAGAGAACAGAAAACTTAAACAATTTAAAACTTTTTCATTTTTATAACTTAACTATTTCGAAGATACAATTCAAACTCTTAACAAAAGATAAGTGTTGACAAAGGATTTCACGGGTTATATAAGAGTATGTATTTATGCGCCAGGTTTATACAAAACCGGACCACCCATTTCCTCCCGAAATAAGCACTCTTGCAAATGACCTTCAAATTTTGATATTTATTACGTATGTAGATATATGTACGGCCGTGTTTCCCAATGTATGTACATAAGTAAGAGTAGTTACGATAGGCTGGCGAGTCCTCCAAAGTTTTGTAAAACATCAGCTCCATTAGGATCGATAAGTTTAAATTGTTGAAAAAGTTTGTGCTGAATTTTCGACACAAAAAAAACCATTATCGTCCAAACGTCTCATGTATTGATAAAGATTGGCTAGTTAATTTACGTACCTTATTTTTGTCAGTGTCATACAAGTACATAAATCTATTTACAAGTTCAAAAGTGTGGAGTTTCACGACATAATTAATCTTGCAAATTACGATTCAGTCAAAAGCATTTAAGCTACATAGAAACATTTAAACACTAGAATTACATATATAATTTTTTATGTTCTTATGACTTTGGAAAAATTCGTGTTTAGTTTTTGACCATTGTAAAATTACAGACATATGTACATTCAATATACCTTAGTTTGATTTGTGCGACACACAATTAGCACCTTTATGTAAAACTAAACGCTCAATGATGTTGAACAGGTTCACCCGCGATTTACTTGGGGAAAGTTAAACTCTTATAAATACAACACGATAGAATGTTAAAATAAGTATGGCACATTTTTATTCAGTAATGCATGCATGATCAAACTCGATTAGAATTTCTATGTGGAACAACTTATGGATTTATGGATTATGTGGATTAATATATATATGTATTTCATTCATGTGCGGTGTAATTTGTGCAATGATATGAAATGAACTTTAGTCTAATAAACTTATTCTTAGAGCGAAGAAGTTCAAGTTTTACATAGAACACCCTCGGTACTCACATTACCAATTTAATACCGAAATACTGATTGGTACCAGCGAAATTGTAATAAATATTATGTACTAATTAAAACATTTAGTTTGACAGTTGGGCATTTCTTAGTTAAACATGTGTATTGTTTCCAAAGTTCATTTAAATCATGTTAGGATAATTTTTCCCAAATAAACAAATTTCGGGCACCATTGTAATTTTAATCTGCAAGCCAATTCAAGGATTTTTACAAAATTTGAATGTTTTTTACAAATACAATGGCAAACATAATAACACCAGCCAAACATTGGCAACGTAAAATGCTGCACTATCAGGTGTTGATGCCTCAACTGTGGTTGGTTCACCAGTTGTCGTTGGGATAGTTCTTGGCGTTGTTCGCATTGTTGAAGTTGAGGTCGGGATGGTTGCATTAGTAGTTGTGGTGTTAGTCGAAATTGTTGTTGGCTCAGTTGTAGAGGTAATTGTATCGGTTGTTGTTGTGGTTGAAGAAGAAACTGTTGATGCCGATGTAGTGACTAATGTTGTTGTAGAGATGGTCGAAGTTGTTGGTATCGGAGTTGTGGTTGTTGTTAGGGTTGTTGTTGTTGGGGCTGTTGTAGTTATTGTGGTGGTTGATCCCGTCACAAAAGTGCAACCTTCTCTTATGCTGCCAACAGTGCCTACCTCATTGGCGACATAACTTACTCCGTATCCTCTGTCATCAACCATTTGCTCTGGAACAAGACAGGTAGATTCCCCAGTGTAATTTGGACCCTCAAAGACGGTCCAACTATGACGGCCAGTATAGAAGTAGGATCTGTACTCAAAATTCACAGCTTCGTTATCTGCCCGTATGCTGACAACTGCCCCACTTAATTCTGGAGTGGAATAAAAAGTTATGACTTTTGATATTTGGTCTGGGTCTCCAAATCTTGAAACGGCAATCATGTTTCCGGAGGGCAAGGAGCGATCAACGCAGACAGCTTCATATGCATACGTTGGTGCTGGTGCTTGTACTGCGGAACAATCTGCACCTGGGCATGAATATAACCGCCAGCTAGATAAATTAAAGTGAGTTAGCAACCTACAATTTTTTTAAACACAATAAATTCTGAATTTACAGCCCAAATGCGGCAAATGAGGAATAGCTCGTTGGAAACGTTGGTCCACCAGACCCCGTCAAAGTTACTGATTCTCCTTGACATCCTGCATCGGTATATAAAATTACATTCTGATTTACTATAGGGGCTCCTGTCGTTGTGGTTGGGACCACCGTAGTTTGTGGTGATCCCGTGGTAGCTTCACATCCCTCCCGAATACTTCCTATTTTGCCTACGAGATTAGCTTCGTACGTCAATCCGTAACCGCGATTGCTAACCTCTTCATCTGGTGTAATACAGACTGAGCTGCCCTGGTAACTATTCTCTTCGAAAATGGTCCAACTATGGTCTCCATTAAAAAAGTATGATCCATACTCAAAATCTACGACTTCTGTGTCTTGAGCATATGTGACCATTGTCCCATTCAACTCTGGGGTCGAGTAAAACACAACGAATTTTCTAGTTTGTTCTGGATCCCCAAATCGAGTAATAGCAATCATGTTGTTGGCTGGAAGTATACGATTCACACAAACAGGGCTTTGGCCAAGGGTGGGTGCCTGAAGAGGTGCATTGGTGCAATCAACACCGGCACAAGGATGGAGTCGCCATCTAAAAATATTGAAAAAGTTAACGAGAAAGATGATGAGTTAATTCGTACATTTGATGGTCTCAAATTACAGTCCAAATGCTTCGAAAGACAAATGGGCCATCGGAAACATTGGTGCCCCTGAACTAGTCACTTGAACAGCAGCTCCCTCGCAGTTCTCGTCAGCATAAAGCGTAACATATTGCGGTGGAATCGGTGCCCCTGTCGTAGTTGTACCTATGGTAGTAGTGGTTGGAATTGTAGTAGTTGGCATGGTTGCTGTAGTTGTATCTATGGTTGTAGTGGTTGGCATTGTAGTAGTTGCCATGGTTGTTGTGGTTGCCTGCGTAGTTGTGGCAGTCGACTGCTCCTCACAACCCTCTCTAATACTGCCCAATACTCCGATTTCGTTCCCTACATATGTCGCTCCAAACCCATTGGTTACCACATCCTCGCTTGGAGAAACACATTTGGATGTACCATTGAAATTACCTCCTTCAAAAAGGGTCCATCTATTTGCGCCTGTAAAGAAGTATGAATTATAGTTTCTGTTGATCCCTGAAAGATCCCCAGTGTAAGCAATTTCGTCTCCAGTTAGCTCTGTAGAAGTGAAAAATGAAATTGATTTTGCCGACTGATCGTCATTCCCAAACCTGGTCAATTGAATAACGCTTAGGCTAGGGAATTCTTGATTTGTGCAGATTCCATTCATTGAGTTCTCAAGGATTGGGGAAGGAAAGGGTGGCACACAACCAGCTGGACATAGGTGTACTCGCCATCTACAAATTTAATGGCCAAGTCCTATTTAAATTAATTGTAAAGCCCGTTTATTTTTTGGAAGAAATATTCTTACAATCCATAAAGTTTAAATGACGCATATGTGACATCCGCTCCAACAACTTGGTAACCTGTCTCATTTTGCTGAACTCCAAACTCCCCTGTACACCCCTCAGTGGCAAAAAATTGAACAAATTGATTCTGTTGAGAATATACTGAGGTAACTAATGGCATAAGAAAGTATATTGCAGTGTTAAATTGCCCCATTTTATGGAACTCAACGTGGACCAGGATGCAAAACCTGCTGGTTCTAAAGAAAATTCTTAACTGACAAAACCAGACCACACCTGTCCATATATTCAAAGTTTTTACAATTGTGCAAGAATCCAATTCTTCAATTTCATGCTGTTATCATTCCTTTAATAAACCCTTAATCCATCCAACCTAACCGTTCCATAATCCACATAATCCACTGATTCATATGTCACTGAATCAATCAAGTCAGTGAGATGTCGTCACGCAAAACTCAGGCAAAGAACAGCCTGATTATGCAAATTGTAAGGTCCACTTGCACGTTCTGAACAACAGACAATAGAATTGGCCCTGTCGATTACGTTGATCGATTAATTACCATAATCCGCTCCTCTGCTTTTAACTAATCATCCATCAAAATTACCCTTACGCTCCGAAAGTCCATTGTGTATTAATGTTGAGCATGTTAATCCTGTTGATCCAAGTCCAAAATTTCTTCCCGTGTGACGCACAAACATTACAAGCATGACTGAATTATTAAGTAGCTTCAGGCTACTTTATGCGAACTTTGTCCGTCTGTCTGTCTGTCCGTCCATCTGTCTTTCAGTCTGCCTGTCAGCAGGATAACGGGAGAACGGATAATCGAAATCGGTTTTCGCCATCATACATATGACCATGGTGGGAGGATCCTCACAACTACTTGTGGGGGCAACGGGACCACACCCTCGGGAGCCAGGGGGTGTGGTCGTGGCAAAATGAGATTTTTAGTACAATTGAATCTATGGATGACATCGAGTGAAATTTTGAGTTCCCCAGGTGTGCCATGCCCCTGACGCTTAGGGATGTCTGGGGGAAGAGGAGATTTTCACTTAAATTAAATCTATAGATGAAATACAGCGAAATTAAGTGTTCCCGCGATGTCGTGGGAGTGGTTAGGGTGTAGTAAGCCTGAAGCTACCTCCTTATGTGCGTTTGCGATGGTTTATTTTACCATGGCGAGGAATGTTTCAAATATTCATACCTTGTCTCCACAGTATGAGGTCATAATTATGTACGCATTACAAATTACGTTGATGCATTCATGCTACAATCCTACTCATATAAAATATGTCATCACTCAAACTTGGTAACCTGTCGTGGTCAGATTCCAACATACAAAGTTCTTACTCCTGGTTACCACACATGCAATTAATCGTGTCAGGTTACTAAGCTCATCCTTGACAAATTAATCCGGGCAGGATTTGTGTCTACTTGACGAATCCAGCTCCTTATCTGTGTCATTACGTTGCTAACAATAATTTAGCAGCAAAAGTTTCATTGCAATGACAAAATTACGGCATGATAAATTTATTCATTGGTTTTCTAATGCATTTTGGTAATCTTTTTGTTAAAACTATTTAACACACTTCTCAAATTTGTGAGAAAAGATTTCATCTTAAAATGCGAAGACATAAAGTATTACCCTCCGATTAAGATGGGACTAATTTAAATTTGTTCACCATCAAAAATAAACTTACCCGTATTTTTCCATTCCCGAGAATCCGCGCATTCGAGCGCATGGCGGCAATTTTAAACCTTTTTCAGTCAAAACTAAGGGTTTTAAAATCCCTGCAACTTTTTAATTTTTGTTTCAAAAAATCCAAAAACAGGTTCAGAATTTCGTGAGATTTTAAAAACTTTGTAACATTCTAATTGCTACATAACTTTACTGAAGAATTTCAAATTTTCTAACAGCTTAAAATTTCCTAAATTTCCCTAGCATAGATTTTTAGCATTTGCAAAAATGGCCAAAAGCACGTGTATGTAAGCAACGTTCTGTTATGGTTTAACATATGTAGAGGCTATGCAAAACTCAATAGAGTTTTGCTAAAATCATGCAATTAATATGTCCATCTGCCATATCAAATGTGAAATTTCCGTCAAAATGAACTCCAATACCAAATTAACTGTGACAAATAATGCAGGACCAATCTGACCACACCAATTTCCAATTATTTAATGCAACGTATATATATGTAAGGTTTGACCCCCGTAAATAAATCAATCGTGAAAAATCCTCATTTTACAGTTCGTTACTCATGCATAATTCCATTAGTCGAAATCCAATCTGGTCAAGCTGACGAATTAATCATTAACCCATTACTTGTAATGGACGGACTCCAGTGGGACGTTGTGCTACGTGTGTGATGCATACAACTCAATTGCTTATTTATCTTTTTTCATTCTTACGTTGAGTCAATGCCAATCCATCACTTTGTACTGTGACAGATTGGGATAACTCGTTAATATTGTCAGTGCTGGTTAGCTTAGTGTGGGCACCATTGGGGGAATAAAAATCTATACTATAAGCTGGAAATGTATGTCTGCAATGGAGGTGAAATTAATTTTCCGAAACGGAAGTAAAAGTGGAGAATATTAAGTTTCGCATGGTGCGTGAATTCAAAAATCTAAATTTAAAAAAGTAAATATGAGAAGATCATGATGTCGCTGTGTGTGCCCCATGGTGTTATCGGTATATTGCGTCTTGATTCTGATTATTACTTGCCTGAGCAATATTCGTTACAAATACACTTCCGTTTGCATCATCGAGTTTTAGCCAATAAATAATACAAGATTATTGAATTGAGTGGAATTTTAAAAACGAAATCCACTCTCACCCGGCGGGAGACGGGCTTGTACGCTAGTGTTTTATAACATAAAACTTATTGTATTATAAAATGATCTGCACATACAGAAATACAGTATGCAACTTATTTAATGGTACGATTTTTAATTTAAATTTAAAATTTAATTTTCCACCGAACCGGTGAATATTTCATAATTATTTTCATACCAATTATTCACCATATATTGGACTATTTACATTGTGACAAAATTTTCGAAGGAATGGAGAGACAATTGTTAAGTCCACAAATATTTTCTTGTTAAAATATTGCAAATTACACGTTAAATAGTTAATGCTACGATGCTCAACCGGTGCAAATGTACCATTTTTCTTTAATTTAAAGCAGAATTTCGTTCGCATAAACAATTTTGTTGTTTTTCTGATACAAATGAAAATAATCTGCCGAATTAAAATGAATTAGTACCAAAGGAAACTGTATAGTAATCCAAACTCTCTGGTAATTAACATATGCAATTTATTTGAAATTACATTAACTATGTACAAATCTATGAGCATTTTATTGCGCCAGTCAGATACTTTAGTTACCGTTCTTTATAATATAGATATGTAATTTTACACAGCGCACTTAAATATTCTACAATGCTTTAACTAAATTTCGGATAAACCTCAATCTCAACCTGGTTTTTACTTTCATAACTGCAACCATCACACATCTAATAAACATTAACGCGGAAACTATAATTTGACGCCGAGCGTCGCACATTAAAAATGTCACCAACCCCAAAATTATCAAAATCCCCCACAAGACAAATACAGTTTGAATACTGCCGCCCATATTAACCGGTACAAAAGCCGGTCTACCTATCCCGGTCCGATTTTTTGTAAACTCTATCCTCCGCTTGTCTACCCGCGTTGCCATAATTTTTTGAAATCTCCGAAATATCCCAGATTCCAAAGTTTGCACCAACGTATCTGCCAGCCTTGATCGCCTCCGAGACTCAAAACCCCACACACTCATGTAATTCGTGGTAATTTTATCTTTACTTTTCTTAAAGGGGAGCAAAGTATAAAATTTGGTTAAACGATTGAATAATTTATCCGTTTTTTCTTCAGTATCGACATATGCAAACTTTTTGCCACAGTCTGTCATTCTGGTTTCTACCAAGTCTTCCCAGATATCTGGATTCGGCGGAGTCAATAAGAAATACTTATCTCTTATTAAATTTTTATCTTCAACAGGCCAGAATATCCGTTGCGGCATGATCATGTTGAGCGATAAGAGGCTGAAAATCACACGAAAAAGTGGATTTTAAAATATTTCCAAAATAAAATTATGAATAATATCTTGATCAATAGTTTCAAATTAAAGTAAGTATGCATATATTTGTTCACGATTATTAATAACTAGCGTATAAGCCCGTCTCCCGTCGGGCGACGGGCTGATTTGATTTTCGTGAAAATTAAGAAGAATTGTTCGTAATTCTACCGAATTATTTTTCTATTGTATCTATATTATTAGCTGGAAATGTCTGTTTGCAAAGGAAATGAAACTTTCTCCACTTTCACTTCAGTCACGGAAACTGAATTTCATATCCGCTGCAGACAAACACTTATAATATAGATTAAACTCTGTTTCACAATTGGTTATGTGAGATTCCCGTCATACATGTGGGGGTAAAATCACCACTTGTGAAACGGAGTCTAACTAACACAAAAAAAAATTAATAATTTAATTTAAACCCATTCATAAAGATATTGTAACTTTTTACCTGATCCTGTCTAAGCTATTTGGCGTCCAGGTGGAACTCGAAGTTTGAGATTTTTCTCGCTTGTGGTGCCACCAAGTCATGTATGCAGTGTGAAACATATAGGTTCCAAAGTTTGTGTAGCATTCTGGAGAATATGAAATCATGCAGAGGGACGAAGTCGGATCATCTGCTCCACTTGACGAAAGAAGTTTGAACTGTTCGCGATAGAGTTGTAAATTGTTTGTCGAGTTTAGCACAGCGTCCTCCTTTGAAAAATGGAGTTTCATGTAACTTGGTTCCGTTCGGTTTCTTCGCGTGTACATTTGTTTCTATAAGAATTAAAGTGTTGGTCTCATAATTAAAAAATAAAACTATCTAACTGGAGTGCACCGAGGTTCACTCTAAATAATTTTTTGGAAATTGGATTGATGATGACTGGAACATTATGTGAAACATGCCATCTGCCTATCAGACAACGACAACTGACATTTATCTGCATCTCGTGCGAGCAAAAACATCACCGTGTATGCCATAAAAACGTAAAAATTCCGGAAAGAGGTTATATTTGTACTAATGTTCTACCTAATTGGGTTTGTCCAAACTGTACATTGTACATTCGTGACGGATCTTGCCTCATTGGAACGGACTTCCTCAATACGTCAACCTTACTATCATGCCAATCTCTTCTGGAGCCTCCTTCCTCCCCG